AAAACGAATAGGACCAAAAAGTTAAAATACACCTTTGTTAACACGCTCAAAACGATTAAAATGCAAAATTTAATACATAGGTGTTGTTATTTCTGTAAACTGCAGTTACACATTTTTCCAGTGGTTGGTAACTATATCCCCAGATGGTCATAAGGGGTATCATATGCAAAAGTCTCCAACGCATTTCACAGGACAAATCCCGCTTCCTCAGGGAGAACTGGCATAAATAAATCTAAATAAGCCAAATGAGCATCATCCAGGATCATACATGTAAAACAATAGACACAATCATATGCATTTATAAACAAAAGTACTACCTGTCATAGATGCTCAAATTACATACAGCTTAGCCCCAAAGCTGTGGAATCTTGGTCACTGCATATGTAGGGAATCAGGCCATACTCAACACTGAATTCACATATGTAGTATTCAAAAAGGGCATATGTTATGCCTGAGAGAAGGTGAATGAAAACAAAGGGGAAAAAATATGATACAGCTTTATTTTTGCTCAGCAGGATTGATGTTGATGTTTTGTTTTTGCAAGAGACCAGGTTGTGCAGTCTAGCTGATGTCCATCTGGCTAAGAGGGAGTGGAGGCGTGGTCCTTCCTTCTGGTCTCTTGCGGCTCAGCCTTACAGTGGAGTTGCGGTTCTTTTTACCGACATGGTAACGTGCCGGCGGGTCATTGAGGTGGAGATTGGAAGGTGTTTGATCCTGGATGTCCTTGTGAGGGGGCAGGAACTGCGCCTAATTAACATTTATGGACCGCAGTCCAAATGGGACAGGAAATGCCTCTTTACAAGGATCAAGCCTTTTCCTTTTTACATCCCGGCAGGTTGTCTTTGGAGGTGACTTCAACACCGTGACTAGGCCCAAGGACAGGAAAGGCTACAATGACAGGCTTGGATATGACAGCGTTTTCTTAAATGCGTGAGTCAGGGAAGCAGGTCTGGTGGATGCCTTGGTTAAGAGCAACCCGGACAGCACTGGTTTCACGTATAGGAGAGGCAGTTGTCAGAGTAGAATAGATAGGTTTTTTTTGAAGGAGGACTCTGCCTTCTCGGTACCTGAATGTCGATCGGTGGAGGTTTCTGATCACCTTTTACTTACAGTGACTTTAAATGTTTCAGATACGCCACTGAGAGGGAAGGGCATCTGGAGAATGAATTCGGCTCTGCTGGAGGAAGTAAAACGATCATTTGAGGAATTTTTTCAGGCTCAGGAAACCGTTCTGGATTTCTGCAACAGTAAGTCAGAGTGGTGGGAGCTCACCAAGGTGTGGATAGGCAGGTTTTTCTGGGCCCTAGGAAAAAGAAAACAGCTTGATAGGTACATTGCCTACCAACGGCTGTGGAGGAAGCTCGACCGCCTTGTTTCTAGCGGTGGGGATTCTGGGGCAATCTCTGAGGTCAAGCTACTTCTCATGAAACACCAGTATGACCGGCGTGCCTCTTTGGTTCTGGAGAGGGATTATGGGAAGTACCACTCGCCTGACCCTTTCCAGAATTGTAAGCAGAGCGCAGCAATTAAGACGGTCTCTGGCTTGAGGGATAGTACGGGGTCCCTGACAAGATCCAGGTCGGGGATTCTGGAGGTCTCTAGGTCCTTTTATGAGGATTTACTGAGCGAGAAGCACCTCGACCGGACAAGGATGCTGAGCTTTTCGGACTCTACACCAGGTCTGGAGGGTAATGTCCTGCCTGCAAGTTTGACAGGGGAAATTACAGCAGAAGAGGTGACCAAAGCCATCGATAGTTTGGCCATTAATAAGACTCCTGGGCCAGACGGTCTGACAGCTGAATTTTTTAAAGCCTTTAAGTCCAGCTTGGCACCCCCACCTTGCGGAAGTTTACAATTGCTGTCTGGATGAGGGGTTGCTCCCTCCTTCCATGAGGCAGTCTGCTGTAATTCTCTTGTCAAAGGGTAAAGATCCTTCGGCTATTGAGAACTGCTGCCCCATTAGCCTTCTCAATGTCGATAGAAAGATTCTGGCTAAGATCTTGTTCTGGCGCTTGTCGTCAGTGGCGGGCGGCTTACTTTCTCGCCAGCAGCATTGCTAGGTCCAGGGGGCAGAAGTACCTTTACAGCGGTGTTAGCTGTCCGGGAGGCTCTAGAGCGATGTAAGGCTGAAGGCTGGGGAAAGTTCCTGCTGGCGGTGGATCAGGCAAAGGCCTTTGATCGAGTTGATCACAAGTACCTTTGGCATCTCCTGGACCGGTACGGCCTAGAGGGGAGGTTTATTGGCTGGCTTAAAACGTTGTATAGTGAGGCTGAGAGCTTCATGTTGGTGAATGGGTGGATTGGGCGGCCTTTTGGGGTTGGGTCCGGGGTGCGCCAGGGGTGCCCGCTGAGCCCTTTGCTCTACGCCTTCGCCATTGACCCCTTCATTAGGAGGTTAGATGGTGGGGTGTTGGGTGGGGTGTCGGTGGGTATTACTGGGGACCCCCCCCCCCCTGAAGGTCGTGGCCTACGCCGATGACGTTTCTGTTTTCATTTCTGGGACCGAAGAGGCACAGGAGGTGGTCGCAGTGATGGATCAGTATTCCGAGGCGTCGGGCTCCAAGGTCAACCAGGACAAATGTGAAGTTTTCTGGATGGGTAGGGATGGTGAGAGCTTTGCTTCAGCAGAAAATAAAAGTTTTAGGCATCAATTTCGGCCCTGCTGAGTACAGCAAGTTAAATTGGGAGGCTAGGCTGTCTGATTCTGAGGGTAAAGTGAGATGTTGGAAGGGGTGGCAGCACTCCTTGAGGGAAAGGGTTGACACGATCAAGACTTTCCTGATCCCCATTTTTCTGTATGTCAGCTTCGTCTGCCTCTTGCCAGAATTGCTCTATACGAGGGTCTACAGCTGTTTCTTCCACATGTTATAGGGGAATCGGCTGAACCTTGTCAAGCGGGATGTGACCTACTCATCCAGGCGGGAGGGTGGCCTAGGTATGGTCAATCCAATTGTTTTTTTCTCTCTGATGTTTATTAAACATAGTTTTGGTAATATGCTGGCAGAGATACCGCCTGCGTGGGTGGAACTTTTTCGGATTTGGTTTAGACCCTTTCTGGACCGTTGGGGAGAGTGAGAAAAGCCTGCGGGTCAAGCATGATGAGCCCCCGGCTTATGTAGCTCCGAGCCTGAAGTTACTCAGGTGGTGGCATGTGACGGCGGGGGAGGTCAGATCCCTCCCTAGGAGGCTCGTGGGTGAGAGGATTGTGGAAACCGTCTTTCATGCCCCGCTGCCCTGAAGGATTGCTGGGCCATATTATGAGGGAAGGCTTACGGTTGATTAATCTGGAACGATTCCCTTGAAATTTAGGGACCAGGCCTGGCTCGCTTTCCATGGCAGGCTCTACATGAGAGGGAACTTGAAGTACCGTCCTCTGGATGACCGTAGTTGTCCGAGGTCGGAGCGTCAGGGGGAAGTGGAAACTATGGACCACTTCTTACTTCAGTGCCCTTTCAATGTAGAGGTGTACAAAGAGGTGGGTGGAGCTCTGGGTGTCCCTTTCCTACACCGCATGTCTTATGCGGAGTGGGTGTATGGAGCATTTGAAAGCCGCATGGGTTTTGATTTGGACACTGTTTCTAGTTAGTTTAGTAGTCCGTTATTACACCTGGAATGCACGATGTCAGGTTTCCATTCGGCAGAAAGTCCTTTCGGTCCAGGTGGTGGTGAGTGGCATCCTTGGTGAGGTTGGGAAAATTCGGGGTCTTGAGAAAGACAGGGGGCGGCAAAAGGCCTGGATGGAGGCGTGGAGGAATATCAGGCCCGTAGCTGCAGCCTGTTGATCTCGGGTGGTGGTCCCTGTCCCTGTTTCCTCCTTTTCACCTCCCTAGATTTTGGTAGGCTTGGCTTTTTTATGAAAGGCTGCATTCACTGAAGATTTGAGTTTCTTAGTCTTTTCTTGGGTGTAGATAAGGTTATAAGTTTCTTGTGTTATGCCTAGCAGTCCAGAGTGGGTAGGACTCTAGGCTAAATGGTTGGTCTTAGTGTTAGTATAAATAATATGTATTGGTTAGGCCATAAAGGCCTTTTTTTCATGCAAGTACAGTTAAGTGTGTGGAATGTAGTTAAAAATTGAAGTATCTAATCATGTCGTTTGGCCGTAAAGGCCGATGCTTTCTCTTTACAGAGATGATGGGCCATAAAGGCCACTAATAGAAACACAGTATAGTGTGTAGTGTTGGCTAAGGGGGTCATAAAGGCCTCCTTTGCCTATATTATGCTTTTTTTCTTGGCAGGTAAGCCATAATGTTTTCTTTGCAGGTTGTGGATATTTTATTAGTGCAAGCCCTAGTGGCTAAAATGCCTTTTGCCTATAAATCTTGCTGTTCTTTGTGATGAAGTATCCCGTGTATAATTGGACTGGAAAGTTTTGAGTTATTTATTGTATGTTTTTTACTTTTGTATAAAATAATTTTACTTGCTGGTTTCAAGTTCACCTAATAAAAATATCTCCATTCCTGACAGTACCCCCCTTCCTCAAGGAGCGTCCTCAGGATGCTCCAAACAGTCCTTAGTGGGCAAAATGTTCCACCGCTAGGGTCAGGTAACAGGCTGGGCAGCGGACGGAGGCACATCAGGCTGGGCAGCAGACAGAGGCACATCAGGCTGGGCAGCAGACAGAGGCACATCAGGCTGGGCAGCAGACAGAGGCACATCAGGCTGGGCAGCAGACAGAGGCACATCAGGCTGGGCAGCAGACAGAGGCACATCAGGCTGGGCAGAAGACAGAGGCACATCAGGCTGGGCAGAAGACAGAGGCACATCAGATTGGGCAGCAGGCAGAGGCACAGCAGGCTGGGCAGCGGACAGAGGCCATCAGGCAAGGCAGCGGGCCATCAGGCGGAGCAGCGGGCACCGGGCCATCAGGCGGGGCAGCGGGCACCGGGCCATCAGGCGGGGCAGCGGGCACCGGGCCATCAGGCGGGGCAGCGGGCCATCAGGCGGGGCAGCGGGCACCGAGGCATCAGGCACGACAGCGGGCACCAAGCCATCAAGCTCGACAGCGGGCACTGAGTCATCTGGCACGACGGCGGGCACCGAGTCATCTGGCACGACGGCGGGCACCGAGTCACCAAGCTCGACAGCGGCAACCGAGTCATCTGGCAGGACAGCGGGCACCGAGTCACCAAGCTCGACAGCGGGCACCGAGTCATCTGGCACGACAGCGGGCACCGAGTCATCTGGCACGACAGCGGGCACCGAGTCATCTGGCACGACAGCGGGCACCGAGTCATCTGGCAGGACAGCGGGCACCGAGTCACCAAGCTCGACAGCGGGCACCGAGTCATCTGGCACGACAGCGGGCACCGAGTCATCTGGCACGACAGCGGGCACCGAGTCATCTGGCACGACAGCGGGCACCGAGTCATCTGGCAGGACAGCGGGCACCGAGTCACCAAGCTCGACAGCGGGCACCGAGTCATCTGGCACGACAGCGGGCACCGAGTCATCTGGCACGACAGCGGGCACCGAGTCATCTGGCAGGACAGCGGGCACCGAGTCATCTGGCAGGACAGCGGGCACCGAGTCATCTGGCAGGACAGCGGGCACCGGGTCATCTGGCAGAACAGCGGGCACCGAGTCATCTGGCAGGACCGCGGGCACCGAGTCATCTGGCAGGACCGCGGGCACCGAGTCACCAAGCTCGACAGCGGGCACCAAGCCATCTGGCACGACAGCGGGCACCAAGCCATCTGGCACGACAGCGGGCACCGAGTCATCTGGCAGAACCGTGGGCACCGAGTCATCAGGCAGAACCGCGGGCACCGAGTCACCAAGCTGGACAGGGGGCACCGAGTCATCTGGCATGACAGCGGGCACCGAGTCATCTGGCAGAATCGCGGGCACCGAGTCATCTGGCAGAACTGTGGGCACCGGGTCACCAAGCTCAACAGCGGGCACCGAGCCATCTGGCAAGACAGCGGGCACCGAGTCATCTAGCAAGACAGCGGGCACCGAGTCATCTGGCACGACAGCGGGCACCGAGTCATCTGGAAGAACAGCGGGCACTGAGTCAGCTGGCAGAACAGCGGGCACCGGGTCACCAAGCTCGACAGCGGGCACCGAGCCATCTGGCGCGACAGCGGGCACCGAGCCATCTGGCGCAACAGCGGGCACCGAGCCATCTGGCGCGACAGCGGGCACCGAGTCATCTAGCAGAACCGCGGGCACGAGTCATCTGGCGGAACAGCGGGAACCGAGTCATCTGGCAGAACAGCGGGCACCGGGTCACCAAGCTCGACAGCGGGCACCGAGTCATCTAGCGCGACAGCGGGCACCGAGTCATCTGGCAGAACAGCGGGCACGAGTCATCTGGCAGAACCGCAGGCACCGAGTCACCAAGCTCGACAGCGGGCACCGAGTCATCTGGCACGACAGCGGGCACCGAGTCATCTGGCACGACAGCGGGCACCGAGTCATCTGGCACGACAGCGGGCACCGAGTCATCTGGCAGGACAGCGGGCACCGAGTCATCTGGCAGGACAGCGGGCACCGGTCATCTGGCAGAACAGCGGGCACCGAGTCATCTGGCAGGACCGCGGGCACCGAGTCATCTGGCAGGACCGCGGGCACCGAGTCACCAAGCTCGACAGCGGGCACCAAGCCATCTGGCACGACAGCGGGCACCGAGTCATCTGGCAGAACCGTGGGCACCGAGTCATCAGGCAGAACCGCGGGCACCGAGTCACCAAGCTGGACAGGGGGCACCGAGTCATCTGGCATAACAGCGGGCACCGAGTCATCTGGCAGAATCGCGGGCACCGAGTCATCTGGCAGAACTGCGGGCACCGGGTCACCAAGCTCAACAGCGGGCACCGAGCCATCTGGCAAGACAGCGGGCACCGAGTCATCTAGCAAGACAGCGGGCACCGAGTCATCTAGCAAGACAGCGGGCACCGAGTCATCTGGCACGACAGCGGGCACCGAGTCATCTGGAAGAACAGCGGGCACTGAGTCAGCTGGCAGAACAGCGGGCACCGGGTCACCAAGCTCGACAGTGGGCACCTAGCCATCTGGTACGACAGCGGGCACCGAGCCATCTGGCGCGACAGCGGGCACCGAGCCATCTGGCGCGACAGCGGGCACCGAGCCATCTAGCAGAACCGTGGGCACCGAGTCATCTAGCAGAACCGCGGGCACGAGTCATCTGGCGGAACAGCGGGCACCGAGTCATCTGGCAGAACAGCGGGCACCGGGTCGCCAAGCTCGACAGCGGGCACCGAGTCATCTAGCACGACAGCGGGCACCGAGTCATCTGGCAGAACAGCGGGCACGAGTCATCTGGCAGAACCGCAGGCACCGAGTCACCAAGCTCGACAGCGGGCACCGAGTCATCTGGCACGACAGCGGGCACTGTCATGGAAATTTTTGTATTACAGGTTGAACTTTAAATGTGTCATATATTAGTGTTATTCATATGTCTCTCGTGTGGTTTAATTAAAGCTCTGAAGGCTGCAATTAGGCCATGCGCATTTACAGTACTCAGCTCGGTAATGGATGAGATGGCAGATCTGCGCTTATAGACCGGCATGTATATCACCACGGCATTCAATGCGAATGCCGCGGGCCTGTATTCACATATCAGCAGCATAGTACCACATGGACTTCGTAAGGCCAGGCGCCGGGCAGTGCGAACTCCGCGTGTAGGCTCATGTATATCTTACAAGCCACTATCGACCTGAACTGTATCTGGATGGATGTGTTTTAATAAAGATCGTATCGGGCCCATTCAGATACAGACTGGCACTGTTTAATCTAAGGGATGCTTGTACAGAGAATGTACATACTACTAGGAGCTGATAGCATGTAAGGGATGGGAAGTTCGCTCTCCACAGAGAGCCCACCATGGGGGAGGGGAGGACTGGTGTAACTGGTTTCCAGTATAGATAAGAGGGAATGCTACACTCCAAACAGGATGTACATTCTGTGTATAGACACTCCCTATACATTTAAATATTATAATAGTGTAGCGCTAAATAACTTAATCAAAACAATCTGTATGAAAGTGATAAATTAAATGTATTGACCTTGTGAGAAATCTCACAGTGCCTATAAGTGCTCATCACACGTGTCACTTATCTCATAAATAATATTAAACAACATATATCATAATAGTGCTATGTTAGAATCATTAAACATAATTTTGTGTTAGTGCCACTTCAAATAAACATATAACGTGTGATCGTGCCAAATCACTATAAATTAATATATCGTCCAATGTCCAAAAAACAATATAAAGCAATATAATCCAAGTGATGCTTAAATGCACATGCAGTGTGTTATCATAGTGCCACTCTTGAAAACACACTCTTCCACTTTGGCTGCAATGCCTCCTCACCTCCTTTCAGCGACCCCTAGGGGCCCACAAGCCTCTAGGATCACCTTGGATCCTCAACACTCCTGGATGGTACCTCTCAGGCTATCCTCCTATTTGGCCTCCTCCACACCTTTACGCCTTATGGAGTCCTCTATAGCGATCCTCTGTGAATTCTCACTCTCATAGTAGTGAGTTCAAAAAAAGAGATCTTCCAAAGTGTAGTAATTTTCAAATCCAGCAAATATTTTTATTTATAGGGCAAATAAGAAGCAACTCACATTTGTGTACAGCGTTTTTTCTTCTCCCCTGCATGGGTAAACTGCACTCATGTGTTACTCTTGGAAAATGGCGTCCCGTACCGGAAGTGCGTCACTCCGGACTCCGGAAACTGCGTCTCTGCGTGCCTACGCGTTACGTCACGTACCTCGTGACTTCATCGGGGTATCGCTATAGAGACGCGGATCTAATTTATACATATTAGGAGGTATATATACCTCCCCTTCATTTGCATGTGCATGGCCGCCGCCATTTTCTTAAAGCCTACTCCCAGGGATTTCTATTATGATAACAACCTAGTGTTCAAATCGTTATAATCTAATTATATACGATTGTTATATTTCCACATCCTTCAACATTAGGCTATCATTCTTAACTATGCTGACATATATTAATACTTGATAAAATCCTTTATTAATTTCATTAAATAAATATATATAAAAACATTTTAAAAACTATTTTATTAATTAAAAAATGTGTGAATGTTAAAAATGATGCTCATAATTCTATTTTAATTTAATTTATACACACCATTATTTATAAAACTTTATTCATTAATACCTGTTCACCCAGGCTACAGATTTGACCAAGTATATTAAGATACCCAAATAATGTACACGTATGCGTATACATATATACACATATGTACAAATAAGACATGCCACGGTAATAATCAAATATATATATATATATGTATATAAAAAAAACACATATACACATATATATATATAATAAATATATATAAAAAAATATATATTTTTTTATAAAAATAAAATTAAACTATAAAAATATCTAAAATCCTTTATGCTTGCAGTTTACCCATACATCACATTATTAAAACATATCTTAAATTAATCCACAACATATATCAGTCAGCTTAAAAAATATATATACATTCACAGATGATGATAAACTACTATTAAAAATCACTAATAAAACAATTGAGGTCAAATTCAACATTTAGACCTCTTGGGACCAAGGTTCTCATATTATATATCCAACGTGACTCAGCTTGACTTAACGATTTAACCTTATTACTACCTCTCCAATGCTTTTTGTGTCTTTCTATACCCCAAAATTTCATTTTACTAGGGTCCTTGTTATGATGCATGGAGAAATGTCTTGACACATTATGTTTCGGATACCCTTTTAAGATATTTCTCACATGTTCCCCTAGTCTCTTCCATAGTGGTCTCTTTGTTCTACCTATATATTGGAATCCACATTCGCATTCCAGACAGTACACCACTCCTATGGTTTTACACGTAATAAAGTCTTCAATAGTATATTCCTGTCCAGTAGTATTAGCCCTGAAGCTCTTTCGTTTAATGTTTTTTGTGGCTTTACAGGCAAGGCAATTTTTGCATGGGAAAAAACCTATGTCATTCAAAAATGTCAGTTTATTCGTGTATGGAGGATCTAGCACACTTTTTACCACCCTAGATTTAACCGTAGGTGCTTTACGATACACAAACCTTGGATAATCTGATAAAACTGTAGTTAGCATAGGGTCCAATTTCAAAATATTCCAATGTCTTTTGAAAATAGATTCTATTTTTTTGTAGTGGATATTGTAATCCAATACTATGGGTAACTCGTCATTCTTAATACCTTCTTTATTTTTATCCTTCAACAGTACCCCTCTTTCCATATTTCCAACTTCTTCTTATTTTCTGAGTGATCATGTCTCTTGAATATCCTTTCTCTACGAATCTGGACCCCAATTTACTTGCCTGTTTCAGATAATCTTCATGTCTAGTACAATTCCTCCTCACTCTCACAAACTGACCTTTCGGTATATTGTATAGCCAAGGAGGATAATGGCAACTTCCCATTGGTATGTAACCATTCCGGTCCACATTTTTAAAAAACGTTTTTGTTATAAATGTGCCATTCCCAAGTGTTATATTTAAATCTAGAAATTTAGTTTCCTCCTTGCTGTGTTCCCATGTAAACTTTATATTTTTATCATTATTATTCAATTTATTCAAAAAGTTCACCAATGCTGTTTCTTCTCCTTCCCATATTATTATGACGTCATCAATAAACCTCTTGTATACTTTTAATTCTTCCGGATAATTAGTATATATCTCCATTTCCTCCCAACATGCCATAAAGATATTCGCCACACTTGGTGCATACCGAGCGCCCATAGCTACGCCTCTTATTTGTTTGTAATAGGTACCACTATGCCAAAAATAGTTATGACTTAAGGAAAAGTCCAAGCATTCCAGCAGATATTTCCTTTGGGTCCATGTTAAATTACTATATTTTCTAAGTCCCCAGTCCACTGATTTCATTGCGTCATCATGTCCTATTATTGTGTACAATGACGCCACATCCGCACTAGCTGCATACAGTCTTTTTGTTCCTTTATACTCTTCTAAAATCTGTATCAGATGTTTAGTATCTCTCAGATAGGCCTTTGTACTTTTGACCACTGGTTGCAAAAATTCATCAATATATTCCCCCATCCTAGCTAGTACCGATTCTATACCATTCACAATTGGTCTGCCAGGTGGATTCTTATCATTTTTATGTATTTTTGGGACTGTGTAAATTACTGGTAACCCTACACAAATCAGGGACTAAATATTTGGATTCTTTCTTATTTAGAATCTTTTTTTCCATACCTTTCTTTACCAGTTTTTCTAATTCCTTTTTATACAATAATGTAGGATCCTTCCTTAACACTTGGTATGTAGATTCATCATTTAGCTGAGTGGAGAGCTCTTTCAAATAATAGTCTTTTGATAATATCACAATCCCACCCCCTTTATCCGCTGGCCTTATTACTATATCTTCTTGTTTGGATAACCTCTTGATCTCTATTTCCAAGCCTATATTTTTCTTGACTATGGGAACCTTCAATTTCTCTAAATCATGATTAACTAATTTCTTAAAAACCTCTATTTGACTGTTATTATTATTCTGTGGATTAAAAAGTGATCTATTTTTTTAAGATTAGTATGGGTAAAACTACTATTCGGGGCACTACTAACACAATTCTTCGCCCCTGGTAATCCTATAAAATATTTTTTTATATTGAGTATCTATATAAACTTTAAATTTATTAATGGATGCAGGGGGGGCATATTTCAGACCTCTATCTAATACCATAAGCTCCTCTTTGGATAATGAGGAGCCACTAATGTTAAACACCCCATCTCCTATTGTTCTCTTTTTCTTTTGTTTTTTAAATCCGGCTCTGCATCCCCTCCTTTTCTTGGGCTCTTTTTCTTTTCTCTTTGTGGGCTCCTTTCCCCTGGGTATCTCTCTAAAAAATCCCCTTGTCTATACTCCTGCCTCAATGGCTCAAACCTATTGTAGGTGGGTATGGGGCTTCTATATTCATATCTTGGGGGATCCCACCTATCATATGGGTCTGGGCCTTCAAACCTGGGTTCATATGATCTTGGAATATATGGTCTTGGCTGAAAATTATTATAATTAGGCCCCGGTGGGAAGTACGGCCTATTATTTTGATAATAGGGTCTATTATTATATGGTGGACCTTTTTTATTGTTGTTATTGGGTCCCCTATACCCACCATTTCCGTTTTTTGGTTTGTATCCATTTTTTGGTGTCCTATAATTCTGAGTATTATATCGCACTTGAATAGATTCTTGATTCTTATATACTGGTGCAGGACCGCCTTTATTTTCTCTCTCTTTCTTTAACTGGAGTAGTGTTGGTTGAGGCCAACTCAACCTCATTATCCACTGACTGCCATTTGAATACTTGATTTTTTTTTTTCATATCATTTAGATCTCTCTGGTATTTTTTTGTCTTCCTGTATTTCACTTCCTGGTCTGCTCTTTCTAGGTCTTTGTTGAGGCGATTCGTTAGGTTTTGTACCTCTACTGTATCTTTGAATGGTACAATTTTTTCTTTCATTTCACCTATTTGTTTGTCCAAATTTCTCAATTTTCTTTGTTTCCTTTTCAGTAGGAACATGACCAATTCCAGGCCTTTTTCATGGAAAAAATTAAACCATTCTTCCACTGCTTCTGGATCTGTTAGTCCATCACAGATGGGTACATCCCATCTGATTCTTCTGGGCACTAATTTGTCTTTTAAATACTTTTCATGTGTCACTATGTCCCACCACAGCGACACTTTCTTCTCCATTAGGTGGCCTAACTTCCTATATTGTGTTTCTAAATCACCCATTGGTCCCGTATTGGATTGATTAAAGACTTCCTCTAAATTAATAGACCTGTTTTCCAAGAAACCAAAGACATCCATAGTGGCTGCTAGAGGTAAGGATAGGTACTAGGCAATAAATAAATATATTGTAAGTCCTCCTGCGCTTCTATGGACCACCCTCCCTTTTCCCTAGTTTACAGCTGCTTACACTCCTACTGATACCAAAAACACTGCTCAAATAAATATTATAATAGTGTAGCGCTAAATAACTTAATCAAAACAATCTGTATGAAAGTGATAAATTAAATGTATTGACCTTGTGAGAAATCTCACAGTGCCTATAAGTGCTCATCACACGTGTCACTTATCTCATAAATATTATTAAACAACATATATCATAATAGTGCTATGTTAGAATCATTAAACATATTTTTGTGTGTTAGTGCCACTACAAATAAACATATAACGTGTGATCGTGCCAAATCACTATAAATTAATATATCGTCCAATGTCCAAAAAACAATATAAAGCAATATAATCCAAGTGATGCTTAAATGCACATGCAGTGTGTTATCATAGTGCCACTCGTGAAAACACACTCTTCCACTTTGGCTGCAATGCCTCCTCACCTCCTTTCAGCGACCCCTAGGGGCCCACAAGCCTCTAGGATCACCTTGGATCCTCAACACTCCTGGATGATACCTCTCAGGCTATCCTCCTATTTGGAGGATAGGAGGATAGCCTGAGAGGTACCATCCAGGAGTGTTGAGGATCCAAGGTGATCCTAGAGGCTTGTGGGCCCCTAGGGGTCGCTGAAAGGAGGTGAGGAGGCATTGCAGCCAAAGTGGAAGAGTGTGTTTTCACGAGTGGCACTATGATAACACACTGCATGTGCATTTAAGCATCACTTGGATTATATTGCTTTATATTGTTTTTTGGACATTGGACGATATATTAATTTATAGTGATTTGGCACGATCACACGTTATATGTTTATTTGAAGTGGCACTAACACAAAAATATGTTTAATGATTCTAACATAGCACTATTCTGATATATGTTGTTTAATATTATTTATGAGATAAGTGACACGTGTGATGAGCACTTATAGGCACTGTGAGATTTCTCACAAGGTCAATACATTTAATTTATCACTTTCATACAGATTGTTTTGATTAAGTTATTTAGCGCTACACTATTATAATATTTATTTGAGCACTGTTTTTAGTATCAGTAGGAGTGTAAGCGGCTGTAAACTAGGGAAAAGGGAGGGTGGTCCATAAAAGCGCAGGAGGACTTACAATATATTTACTCCCTATACATTATTCTGTGGGAGGGGATTGACCTGGGGGGGACGTGTGTGTGCTTGTAATAAAACAGGAGGCTGGGGTTGGAGCCAGTCTCAGAGTGAATTCCAACTGCAACCTGAGAGAGTGTCGTGTGATCATTCCTGGGTAACAGGAGCTCCATTTTCCCCACATCTCAACAGAGCTAAACCAGTTGGAGGCGCAGGAATCATGGAGTTTAGCTGCAGTTGTGGTAAGCGAAGTTCGCACAGCTTTATGGGGGATTACTGCGCATCCAACTGCGGACACTCACGGTAAGGAGAAATTCGTTGAAAGCGAATTTCCAAGACAGCACCGAGTCATCTGGCAGAACCGCGGGCACCGGGTCACCAAGCTCGACAGCGGGCACTGAGCCATCTAGCAAGACAGCGAGCACCGAGTCATCTGGCACGACAGCGGGCACCGAGTCATCTGACACGACAGCGGGCACCGAGTCATCTGGAAGAACAGCGGGCACCGAGTCAGCTGGCAGAGCAGCGGGCACCGAGTCAGCTGGCAGAACAGCGGGCACCAGGTCACCAAGCTCGACAGCGGGCACCGAGTCATCTGGTACGACAGCGGGCACCGAGCCATCTGGTGCGACAGCGGGCACCGAGCCATCTGGCATAACCGCGGGCACCAAGCCATCTAGCAGAACCACGGGCACTAAGTCATCTAGCAGAACCGCGGGCACCGAGTCATCTGGCGGAACAGCAGGCACGAGTCATCTGGCAGAACAGCGGGCACTGGGTCACCAAACTCGACAGCGGGCACCGAGTCATCTGGCACGACAGCGGGCACCGAGTCACCAAGCTCGACAGCGGGCCCCCAGGGCGTCAGGCTGGACCGCGGGCACCGGGGCGTCAGGCTGGACCGCGGGCACCGGGGCGGCAGGCTGGACCGCGGGCACCGGGGCGGCAGGCTGGATCGGGTCATCAGGCTGGATCGGGTCATCAGGCCGGGTAGGATCATCAGGCCGGGTAGCGTACACTGGGTCATCATGCATCCGGGCATCAGGCTGAACAGCGGGCACCGGGGCACCAGGTTGGATAACAGAAGGCGGGTTCTCAGACCGCAGGCTGACCGGTTTGGATACTGGCAGGATGGTGCTAGTTGGAAAGAATTTCCGCTTCTTCCTGGTTTTAGTTACTGGAGCACTGTAAGTAAACGCAGGTCTGTAAACGGAGGGAGCAGCTTCTACAGATGACTTCTTTACAGGGTTAAAGGCAGGATAGGTGCAGCGAGTGGGAACAGGGGACTGACGTGGTAGATAGCAGGGTATAATGGGCTGTCACTGGGGTTGCTGTGGGAACTGGAGGAAGAGAGCTTTGAGCAGAGGAATGGTTAGAAGCAGGACTGGGTTGTTGCAAGCTGACTGAGACTGGATGTAACAAATCTGACCATGTCTGTAGTACTGGTTGAACAAAGCTCAGCTTACACAAAGCCTGTCTGACCAAAGACTGCACTGCGTTTATACAATCCATTAGCACCTGTTGTGAACATGCTGAATAATGCTCCAAGAAACAATCCACATCATCCTCCAACAACCATACCAGTGACTCTACTTGGTCTGTACTAAATGGCGGCAAAACGTCATCCCTGCTTTCAGGGGTGACCAGATGAAGCCAACTCTGCACAAACCTGATTGTCAGGGCAGGAGCCGAGGAACGGACAGGCAGGCCTAACAATGTAACGCACTGGCTGACGACAACCACCACCCACAGACCGAAGTCCCTCAGGGCGCAGAGTCTAAGTCCCAGGCTGCCCTTCACCAGGGCCCCTGATGGTGGGGATGGACTTGACGCAGCCAGGAACCAGGTCGCGGCCCCCGAGACACCTCAGCTGCGGTAATGGCCGCCGCCAATGGCATGTAGCTGGTGGAAGAAACAAAAGAGTAGTCAGACAAGCCGGGGTCAACAACAACAGGACAAAACAGTACAGGACAGCAGATGAGAGAGAATCACAGGTCACAAGCCGGGTTCAGCAACAGAGGGTCAGATCAAAGGAGAATACAAAGAATAGTCAAGTCACAAGCCGAATCAGAATACCAGGAGAGTCACGAGAGTCAGAACAGAGTAACAGCAACACAAAGACACAAGACACAAGTGCAAAGAGCATGTGCGGGCCACAGGCTTATATGTCATCAGCCACGCCCCTCTGGGGGGTGGACCTCAGAGACCTGAAGGCATAAAAAGGATTCCCATCATGCACAGCAGAATCCAAGATGGACGCCAGCACATGGAGTAACATAACCTCAGGGAAAAGGTAGGACCTTGACACTGATTCAATGGTTGCACCTCAGAGAACTCTGTGCCTTGATCTACTAGGAAATGAGCGATCCGTATGCATTCTAGCAGCTGATCCCTGACATACTCCTTCAGAGTATGATAGGCATAATCTCTGTCATCTAGGACTAGCAGTGACAAATACACAACATCCTCAGGGTGCATCCTTCAGAACAATAAACCAAGATGGCTTCCCTGTGCAGCCACTTCTGGTCAGGACTGGCCTTGGTGTAATGTCAGGGCTCCGGGAATGACCAGAGGTGTGTGGACCGACACAGGGAAACACAGACTTCAGGTATAGCGTGTAAACAAGATAATTTATTAAGGACAACACAAACATAAATGCAGTGCAACAAACCAAACCCAAAGCTAACACAAATACATACAACGAGGTGAAACAAACTCAAACCTAAACTTATATATATATATATATATATATATATATATATATATATATATATATATATATATAAAAGCACAACGTAGTCAGGCGGGCCGGGTCGGTAGCTAACGGGCAGACAAGGTATAAGGAGCAGGCGGAAGAGTGGTCAGGAATAGCCGAGGTCGGTACAGGCAGAGTTCGTGCAGAGTCAGGATCAAAGCAAAGTCAGGATCAGGCAGGAAGCAGACAGGATGCAGGTACAGGGGCTCATGGGAACAATACACCAAGGCACTGACTGCAGGCCTGGCCATTCCTTAAATACACCTCCTGCAATCAGCCTCAGGTGATGGCTTGATTGCAGGAGTGAGCTTCTGGCTGCTGAGAGCACCTACTGGCCAGCCCTGGTACTGCAGCCCACACGGCAGGTGAGTCCCACCACCAGTGGTGAATCCTGACGGGTGTGGTTGTATGCTGGAGAGTTTAGCTGAGCTCCAGAAAGGCCTGAAAAGCCAAGGGCTTGAGTGTCCCAGCCAGCCCAGGAAGTATGGCGGATCCTGGGCCTGGCCCTGCAGGAAGAAGGTCCCCTGAGGGGCTTAGTACCGGTCCCAGCTTTCCACCAGTGGAGGACCTGGGAGCGGCCCCTAGGAAGGGTGAGAACTACTCACAGTATCGGGTCCGTGTGGCTGCCCTGGCCAAGGCGGTGGAGAAGGAAGAGGCCAAGCTCGGTAAGCTCAGTTTGGAGCTGAAGAAGCTCCGATCACAGTATGACCGTGTATGGAGCTCCAAACGCAAGGCAATGAAGCCAGGCCTGGAAGCATTGAAACAGCGAGTTTCCCTGCAGGAAAAATATGTGACGGCGCTGAAGTGCAAGAGTGGAATTCTCTGGGAAAAGTACCAGAAAGACGCCAGATTCAAGGCAGCAAGAAGCCGCAGTATTGAAGCTGTGAGGGGCCCGGTGGAGGAGGCCTCCGAGCAGGAGGAATTGTCAGAGGAGCTCATGGTGGAAGGTGAGCAGGTGCAGGGGCCAGCTGAGCCCGCTGCATCTTCCCTGCATGGCACTGATCCCCGTAAGGAAGACGCAGTGGGCCGCGGTGAGTGCGGGAGAGTCTGGTTCCCTCCCCCTTGGGCAGCAGCAGTCGGCTGATTGGGGGACACGGATGGAGGAAGCGGATGCAGCGGGAGAGCTTTGCTTCAAGGCAGAAGTGGGACAGGTACTACAGGCGAATGCCTTCCGCTTTGCTTTGGAGGAGTCTGATGGCGAAGTGGAGGAAGTGCCATCACGGAAGCCGCCGAAGCCGGTTCTAACAGAGCGGGCGGTGTATGTGAAGCTCGAGCGTATGCCTAACGCTCTGGAGAGTGGTCTGCTGGCAAGAGCTGGAGAACCGGCGGTTAAGGACGTGGTGCAGGACTCTGACCCATTGGGTGGTAAATGTGCCTGGTGGCTGGATGGATGCATGTGCTGGAGGGTCTGTGGTGGGGGTTCCCTCTGTAAGTTCAGGGGTTGGTGTTACTGCCCGTCAGTGCTCCGGTCCAGGTCCCGCCTAGTCCCAGTCCCTTGGGGGTGGTGGTTGCTCCTGGTGCAGTGCCTAGTTCCCCTAGTCCCCTTGCTATTGCTCAGGTCTCCCCAGGGAGTCTCACCTCTGCTGGTCCAATCCTTTAGCCTCTGCTCAGCCCGTTTCATCTGGGGCTGGCTCTACAGTCTCAGCTGCTCCGGCTGTGGACCCTCTTGTTTCAGATCCCTCTGCAGTGGGTCCCTCTATGACCAGGCCCGCTTTGAGTTATTCGGCGGCATTAAGAGGGGGTCAGGAGACAGCTAGGCCACTCCAAGCAAGGGCGGGGAAGCTGCCAACATCTGCGGTTTGCAGGAATGTAGTGCAATTAAAATGGACCTGGGATGGTCCTTCTCTGAGCCGCAAAGAGGTTATAGATCGGGTCCTAGAAATGGGATTCCAGGCGGTCGACATTTTTGCCTTCATTGCCCCAGTGGGCATGGGCGAGTATGACCTGTCCTTGTGAGAGCAGATCAGCTCGACCTTTTCTGGCAAAAATTCAAGGCCACCTACATCAAAAGCCCCAGGTGGGCGGGTCTCACCCCAAAGCTTATTTCACATCAGAACATGATTAAAAAGGTGACAATTCTCGTCCGGAATGAGTCTGTTCTGGCCACGGATATAGATGTCTGGCTGGGGAGATATGGAGATGTGTTGGGACCCCTTCAGAAAATTTTGGATGATAGGAAAATCTGGACAGGAGGATGGACGGCACATGTCCGTTTGAGGGTGGTCGGTCACGTCCTGCAACACATCCCCTCCTCAGCCTTCTTGGGGAAAGACCAGCTGATCATTTTTTATCCGGGTCAGCCTTGGGTGTGCCACAGATGTGGTGGCAAGGGGCATTTTGCCGCCACCTTTCTGTTATTAGGTGTTCCCTATGCCAGGAAATCGGTCACTTGGCGAGGGACTGCAACCAGATTCGTTGCAATCTCTGCAGTGTTTTAGGACACTCCTATAGTCAATGTCCTGAGGCTCTACGCAACTTGCCTGTAGATGAGTTGGCAGCAGAGCTGGACCGGATGGATGCTGAGGAGGCTGAGTTGGGGGTGGAGAGGGCTGGTGTGGCTTCTGCAGTGTCTTCGGGTTAGGAGGGGAGGTGTCTGAGGCCCAGCCCGTTTCAGTTACCCCTGCTGAGTCTGATCCAGTAGAGTCCCCTGCAGTCCCTTCTGTAGCACCTGTCCCCCTTCCCAGCAGAGGGAGGAAATTGGTTGAGGCCGCCAAAGGGGCGGGGGGTGGTTGAGTTAGGATCTAGGTCTGTTGTGCCTGTTCCCCCGGTCCTTCTCCCTTGCAGGCGGAGTGGGGGGGGGGTCTCTCGGGAGGCTCATGGTCCTGTTTGGGAGGAGCGGGATGGGGTTCAGGTGGAGGAGGGTTAGTCCCTTGTGGGGAAGCAGAATCAGCCCTGTCCTTTCTGAGGCGGGGTCAGTCTCCTCCTTGGAGGTGGAAGACTTGGCCCAGGATAATCAGTTTGGGCCTCTGTCGGGGGGGAGGAAGGGGGGGCTTCTAGTGACCCCACGTCCCAGATGGAGGATGAGGAGGGAGGTGGGTCCCTGAAGAGGGTGAGGGATCCTGCTCGAAAGTCCAGAAGGAAGGTCAAGAAAAGTCTTTCTCAATCTCCTTAATGGCAGTTCCCGCTCCGTTGAAGGTGGCAACCATTAATGTTGCCAGCCTGAAATCTTTAAGTGCACGAGAAAAAGCATTATTTTTGATCAGTGGTATGGTTGCTGATATTTTCTTTTTGCAGGAGACCAGGTTGCCCAGCTTGGCAGATATACACCTGGCCAAATGGGAGTGGAGGCGTGGGCCCTCTTACTGGTCTCTTGCGGCTGAGCCTTACAGCGGGGTTGCGGTTCTTTTTACCGGCATGGTAACGTGCCGGCGGGTTATTGAGGTGGAGATTGGAAGATGTTGATCCTGGATGTCCTTGTGGGGGGCAGGAACTGCGTCTGATTAATGTTTATGGGCCGCAGTCCAAGTGGGACAGGAAATGCCTCTTCACAAGGATTAAACCTTTCCTTTTTACGTCCGGCTGGTAGTCT